TTTTTTTTGTTTTTAAGCACCTTTTTCCGTCTCGCCAATCCCAGCTAAACGAAAATCACATTGTGACAGGCACCACCACTACTCCATTGCGCCACATCGACACCATCTGCCCTCCATAGATACTGCTTCACCCCTTCAGCCCTGTGTCCCCCTTGTCATCTTCGCTCACGGACTTCTCTTTCGGAAAGGGTTATCTCCCAGGTCTGATACATCCCAAAGCACCAGGGGCGAAAGACCGAGTCGAACAGCATCCAACCCTTCATCACGAATACGAAGAAGGAGTCGCACCCATAGATCCCCATGTCTGGCTCGAAGTGCTTCTGTGGTCCATGTCAGCCCATCCGTGTGAGAATAGATAGCTGACATCCACTCCCAGTACCGCATGCGAACAGCCGAGAAAGGAACCTTCAATGGCAGCTGCAGGTCCTCAGGCGGTTGGGTGACATCCTGTGTGACATGGAATCCCGTAGCAGTTGTTACATCCACAATGCGCGGCATGAGGTGTCTGACAGCTTGGAAGCCCCAAACCCTCCACTGCTGCATTACTGCAAGCCAGACGGGCCCATATTCTTCGAGAACATTGGCAGCCGTCATGAGCCCATCCATCCATCTATTGAAGATAGCCTCCATATCGTGAAGACGAGGTCTGACCCATGTGCCATCCTCCCTCCGGAACATAACGGGCTTGCGAGGCGGTGGCAAAAGCTGTGTCGGCCCTTCGTCCTGAGACCCTATCTCAGAGTTCTCTCCATCCACAGCTTCGCTCACTGCTTCCTGAGCCAGCATGAGCTCCATGACCTCCCTCCCGAACTGCTCCTGGATCTCAAGCTGGGTGAAGACCCCTTTCTTCCACTGAGCATAGAGCAGAGAGTACTCATTGAACTCCAGCAACCCCAGCATGTCAACTTGGGTCGCCCGGGTGGCCTCCATGCTCTCTTCAGCCTGAGCTGCTTGCGACCCCACTGGCCGTATGGTTTCCTCTGCAACCTGCATCACATCCCCAATGCCTGCGGGTGTCCGGTCCTCTGCATCCTCAATGAAATCAGGCGGTCCTGCTGTCTCGGGTGGGATCACGACTGTAGGCACCTCAGAGGGAGTCGCCTCCATACTTGCCCTCAGTGTCATCCTGAGCTCGGAGCCATTGGCAGGAACTTCAAACCCCAAGGTCTGGACCACTCGGGGACGGTCCTGGCTCCCGGATGCAACTTCCAAGCTGAGAACACATCTCCTCTTCGGCATCTGCTCTGCCCCATCCGCAATGTGTCGCCGGAGGGCAGCAGACGACACCTCCCTCTCCCATCGCTGGTAAGCCTTGGCCTCTTCGGATAAGTACTGAAGCTCCTGCTCCAAGAGCACCTCCTGTGCCCTCTGGTCCCTTTCGTGTTCTTCAATCTGCCTGGCCTCCTCCCTGTCCCATCGTCTCTCCTCATCCTCATCTTTGAGAAGCCCGTCAATGTCGTCCTCCGGCTCCTGCACCTGTGTGTCAAGAACCTCCGCTGGTTGTCTCAGCCGCAGTCCAGGTATGAACGAAGACAACTCCCCCACCCAGCTCTGAAGCCAATCTTCCTGTGGTTCTGCCATCCCCTGCACCTCTTGGCTGTCCGCATCCACAGCCACAGGAGGGCCTGCAGCTGAGTGAGCCACGGAAGAGCGGAGGGCTCCAACATACATGCAGGCAACGCCGCCCTTAGGCGCGAGATGCTGGAAGCTCGTGTAGCCTTGGCCTGCATCTCCAACTCTTTATGCAGTCGAAGAACTGCACGGGACCACCGTTGCTCAGGGGTATCACGGCCAGAGGACCTGAAGAAGTCCTGCATAAGCAGGGTATCATCACCTTCATCATCGTCTCCATGCTTTTCTGCGCCAGTCCCCTGCCTCTCCGTATTATGCACAACCTGTGCAAAATCGAGGCACTGTGAGAGTTCGGCCATGAGGTATCTCAGCACGCTAAGCAGCCCGACCGTGACAATCTGCAAGTTGTGTTCAGAAAGAGCTGCCAGGTGTCGATTGATGTCCTGCATCGTAGCAGTGGGCAGCCAACCATTCGGGATGCGTTCCTCCGGAGTCGTCCTGGGCACCGAGAAGGTCCATCGGTCAAATACCGCCACCTCCGTTGTCAGTGGTTCCTGCAAGTTGGGAACCTCCGCAGAAATACCTTCAGGGGGTCCCCATGTAGGGGCGTCTGTACTGCCAGAGGCTCTCTCCGTTCCCTCTTCCCTTGAGCATCGCATGGACCTGGGCCGACTCTTCGCCACCACTTTCCTTTTCGCTGGCGCACGTTCATCCCGGCCTTCGTTCCGAGAGCGAGAAGTGCCTGCCCTTTCCCGCGGGCCAGCTGTTCTCTCAGAAGCCCCCGATCCACTCGCAGGCTGCCTTGGCTCAAGCCTGCGCGTTTCAACCGTGACTGTCGTGCCATTGCTTCGTCGTGTTGTCCTCCGGGGGGATCTCGAGTCACGTATCCTTCTTCGTCCATTTCTTTACCTGTCCATCATGCTCGCGTCCCCGTCCCCAGAAGGATCCCTTTCTTCAAGGTACACCCTATGTAGGTGTGCCTCCACCCTCATCGCCCATCTGAAGAAGTCCGGAGGGGTATGCTCCCTCGAGGGCACCGTCGCAAGAGCAATCCCCAATTCCAGATCACGGATGTGATGCTCTGCCCAGCGAAGATACCCAAACATCCTTCGGTTCCTGACTTTCTGGCGAAGCATACCGAGTGCCAGATCAACCGCCCGGCCCTCTTGAAACCATTGTCCAAGTTGCTCTCGAAGACCTCGCCAACTGGTATCCCCATCCGAGCCAACCTGGAAGAAGGAGGCCACATCATCAACCTCCTCTGCCCCTTCCTCCTTCTCTTTCCCTTCGTCTTCCTCTTCAACCCTGTCGCCAGGAGGTAGAAGATCAAATCTCTGCATGGCTATGAGGTCTTCCCTGGTACTCCATGTGCCATCATCCCACAGATGAGCCACATGAGTGAGGCAGTGACTTCCCCGCGAGCTCGAGGGTCCACTTGTGCCATCCCTCCGTTGTCGGGCCTTTGCGAGCATGTCCTCTGCCCATGTTTCTCCAAGCCCGGCCAACCTCGCCAGTTGCCGGAAGACATAGTTCGCCCATTCCTCCGAGGGAGTCGTGACGGCTGCGTCACTGATCCATCCTTGATCCCCTTTCATCTCCACCTCCACCTGTCGAGTTTCATCCCCAGTGGGCACAAGAAGAATATCCGGCAGATGAGCTCGACAGACCCGAGAGAGTTCCGAGTTCCTGCTTTGCCTGAGAATTTCTCGGAGTGCAAAGGCCGCCTCTCTGTCTCCCCCCTGCATTGCCAGCCACACGAAACGTCTGCGAGCTTTGGTGAACCACCCTTGTGTGCGTTCCGGGGCCCTCTGCATCAGGCAAAGTACCTCAACGACCACAACACTTTCTGGCCCAGGCTCCTTCTCGTAGTCGAGGGTCATGTAATCGATGGTGTCCTTCTAGTCGTGCACCCGCCGAGCTCGTTGTGGTAGAGCGGGAGCAGCAGCAGCTTCTTGTCGGTGGCGTCCACGTGTCATTGGCGAAAGAGTAGTGGTTGAATTCTGTGCATGCATGATTGAGGCATCCGTTGTTGTCGTGCCATAGTTCGTGCCGAGACTCTCCCGTTCGGGAGTCAGCACCCAAGTGTCGTTGGTCATGCACATCCCTCTTGAGGAGGAGGTCATCCTGTGAGTCCCTCCCAAGGCGAGTTTGCAATCACCGCCATCACTGCTCGCCCAAACAGCGAAGCAGCCAAGCACCAAGGTGGTGCAGAATATGGAGATATGTAAAGCCATGGTGCTCCGAAGAGCGCGATGCGAGATGCTGCACTGCAAGCAATCAATCGCTGCGAATCAAGCACATGCATGCCTTCACAGCACAGCAAGAAAACCCTTGCAAAACAGCACCGACTGTACATCTCTCTAGGACTGGGCTCTCTTCTCTCGTTACGAGTTAAGGAGCTTCTGCGATGATACACAAAGACGAATTCCAAAACAAAGGCAATGCCCGTTTCACATGTGGTACCTTACGACTGTTTGATTGAGAGTTGCCGACCCGAAGTCCACGGCACATCCATTTCACCCACCCATGCTGCTTCCCTCCCCTTCCACTCCCTTCGGTTGTAAGCAAGGGCCCTCCAAGGATAGCCTGCCACTGCATCCATCCTCTGTTCGAGGATCGTCAGCCTAGCATAATGTCTCCCTTGATGCTTAACTCCATGTTTGAGGGTCTTCTGATGGGTCCACCAAGGCAAGGTTCTGAAGTTCTCGAACTCGGAGCTGATGGGCGGGACTTCGTGTAGTGTGGTTCGAACCCTGTGGCCAGCAAAAGCCCAGTATCGTTTCAACCACATGGTGCTCCACCGTTCAACCCCTGCCGAGTGCAATGCGGCTCGAGCACCACGAAAAGCCCTCTGCCGGAACTGTTCCCAGCCTTCATCAGGTTTCTTCGCGAATCTGAGCAACCACACCATCAGCTGGAGTTGTGCCGAATTTAACATTGTCATTGCTGCAGCATCAGGCGGCACACAGCTGATGCACCATAGCGCTGTCCCTCCAACCACTCGCTGCATAACCCTCGCCCTCTGCTTCATGCTCCCACCCTTGGCCCTGAAGATGTGTTTCAACTCCCAGAACTTCGATCTGGCTCGGCTCACCAACGGAGAAATGAGTTCACACATCGAGATACCTACCCGAAGTGTCAATCCCATGACCTCCAGGCTCTCCCCAGCCTCGATTTTGGTCCCGTTGATCACAATATTTCTCGGCCCTGCAACTTTAGGCGATGCATACAGCTGGCACTTCGCAGGATTCAGCCTCAGACCATAACTAGAAAGTTCGACCGATAACTGCTCCACCCTGGTTTGGAGAACTGGAAGGCCAGGTGGGAGTTCCATAGTATGCCATCATCCATGTACAGCATCTCCTCTGAGGACAGGTCATCAAACACACGAGGCCCTGATCGCCAGTTGTACTTATGGATGCTCCCCGCCAGCGCTAGCTCAGCAATCCATGCGAACATCGTAGGTGATTCGACAGCCCCTTGCTTGATCCCTCGGTTCATAGGAACCTCTGTAAACCCCCACGGCGTTTGCAACTGTCCCACGGTCCCCCTGAGCAGCTCTCGCCAGCAATTCACCTCAGCCCCCTCACCCAAGGTAGACTCAAGCCTCGACAGTAGGGCTGTTCTGTCCAGCGTGTCAAAGGCCTTCTCCAAGTCAAGCTTGAATCCTGTCTGCCTGCCCGGACCTGAGCACTGTGCCCCTGTGAAGGGAGAGATCTTCTTGATAGCACGATTGAGAAGCAACCGGCTGAAGAGCTTGCTCACCGATGAACCCATAGCAATGGGTCTGAGCTCTTTCGCCTTCTTCGGAGCTCGAATCTTGGGTAACATGATGAGGATGGGCTTGTTCCATTGTTGAGGGATGCTCTGAGAGACAAGGATCCTATTATACCATTCAAGAAGATGGCCAAAGCCTCAAAAGACGGGAGCCAGTCCCCCTATAACGTCATTGGAAGCTTCAAGCCAGGTAAACCCAGGGAACAGGTACAGCTGAGGGACGACAAGGGGAATTTTCGTGATTCCAAAGAAGAAACACAGGTTCTCGAGGCTTACTCGCGGGATCTCTTTGGGAGTGGAACGGACTTTCTCCTGACAGGACAAACTGGTTCACTGAGGACAACGGTGACATCCTCTTGTAGCTCATGGTTGCCGAAGCCACCTAAACGACCTGACAACCCCGCCTCCCTCCGCCCAATCGGGGTTGTAGCCCCGGAGGGGAAGACTCTCAACTCCTCAACGGTGAAAGCATGGACATCCCCTCTCCACGGACTGTGGGCTGGCTGGACCTCCTCACCCTGGTAGACCTGCTTCAAGTGGTTGTGGACCGCCATATGAGGATCCCCTGACTGAGCTTCAGCAAACCCAATGTCCCATCCCTGCTCCCTGCACGGCTTGAGCGCTCTGAACGACCCCCAATCCCCTTCACTCGCCCTGACCAACCTCGCTTGCTCCCAATTCCTCCTGGCTTCCTTTCTGAGCTTCAGAGCCCTCTTCCAAAGCGCAGCCGTCCCCTGTCTTTTCGCCTCCTTGAAAGCTTGCTTAACCTCCTTGCTGTCTCTGTACCCTCGCCCAGGCACCGGTTTTGTACATGTGTCTGCAAGGTGCTCAACAATTTCCTGGTCAAGATAGGTAATCTGCTGCACTCCACCCATCCACTGACGAGGCCCCGTCTCATGTCTGCGGTGTATTCGTTTGTTGCCAAGTCGAAAGTTTGCATGACAAAGCTCATGATCGGTCCCCAACCGCATAAAGGAGTCAGCGTGTATTCTCCAGCTCCCCAAGTGGAGCCCTTTGAAGCTCATGACATCAATGCACTGTCCATGTCTGCTTTCTTGCCTGGGTCGACTGGTAGGTGTATCGAGTTGGTCATCTTCCGGCACCCCCATGTGCAAGCCTTTTTCAACAAACGTCTGGTGAAGTAGCCCTCCCTTGCCTTCTTTGGGGGAGGGTGTGATCCCTGGCCCATCTCGCACCCATGCAAACCCTGTGTTCACATCCCCAAGATACACAACTTTCCCTGCATTTCGGGGCAGAGTGTCAAAATGATCGCGAAGCTCTTCCTCATATTTGTCGACTGTGCACCACGGCGTAAAATGGGAACTGCCAACCCACACCTCAAGATCCATTTCCAGGTGTCGGAGCTTGTACCACACACCTTTACCAGTAGGGAGCTTCTTCAGGACACACCATCTTGATTGGTCAAACCACAGCCCTGTCCCTCTCCATTGGTCTTTGTGTCTGTGCGAAACAAGTTTCTTGCCCTCCAACTCTTGATAGGACCATCCTTCTCTCTCTCGAGGGACTTCTTGAAGCAAAAGAAGGTCATCTTTTCGGCATTGCGATCCGAGGGTCTCACGTAGTGCCTTAGGCACTTCCTGCAGCTCGGCCCCTCCCACATTCCAGCTGAAAACCCTGAGGAAGTTGGTGGGTTTAAGGTTTAGGGTTTAGGGTTTGGGGTTTAGGGTTTAGGAAACCACAAAACCCTGAATCCCCCCAAA